TAATTTTTTTCCCAAATATTTAAAAATTATTTGAAAAAAGGAAGGTAGACATGATAAAGATTACATGCTGTATAGTTCAATTCATATAAAATTGAAGGACAAGCAAAAATCTATGGTGATAAATTATATTGACGGTCTATGGTCAGAATAGTTGTTTTCTCTGAGAGTCAGTTATTGACTAGATGGAGCTACAAGGGAACTTTCTGGGATAAATAAAATGTTTTGTATCTTGATCTGGGTGGTGATTACATCGGTGTGTACCTGTGAAAAAAGTCATCGAGCTCTACCGTTAAGATCTTCACTTTACTATAGATAACCTACTGCCCTATAGGACAGAGTTGAACTGCTCCCATAGGGTTTCCAAGGTCGTAAATCTTTATGGAGGTAGATTGCTTCATCTTTCCCTCACAGAGCAACTGGTGGGTTCAAACCATCAACCAAACTGTGCCACTAGAGCTCCTACTATAGGTAAATGATACCTCAATTTTTTGTGATTTGAGTGAAAGTTTATAGAGCAAATTCATTTTCCATACAGCAGTTCACATACACTTTGTCTCATGATATTGACTACAATTTCCCACTATGCAATAGCTCTCTTCCCACTTCTTCCCCATAGTTACTGCTTCCCTGTGTCCTTCCCTCACAGTCACTCTTGCCCCCCCCCCGAACTGTCTCCCTGTGCATACACAGCCCTTCTATTCTCCCATGATTGATCTCTCCAGGGAGTGTTATCTACCTAATGTAAATGTTCAGCTCATATGCCTGTCTTTTGTTTAGCTGGAAGCCACAGGAGTGGGTTCAATTCCAGACCTGAAGGGCAACTAGGGGCCATAGTCTCAGGGGTTTCACCAGGCTCTATCAGACTAGTAAACCTGATCCTTTAAAAAAATATATGACTTCTTATACACATAACCTTATGGGCCTATGAGATTATTCCTCAGGGACATTCATATAGGAATAGTATTGCTTAATCATCAGGGTATTCATGCAATGCACAAATGTGTCCCTTTCATCATATGTACATCAGCATCTTACATTCTGCTGATTTATTATTTTGTGGCCAATCTTATGGATGTAAAGTAGTATTGAATTGTTTTATTTCCCTTTATAATATCTGTTATCCATTTATATCTCGCCTTCTGTGAATTGCTTATTCCTATTATTTTATCCTTTTCTAACCATAGTTTTTTCCCCTCTTTCTTCTTGATTGGTACTTAATTTTCTCATTTGTTTTTCCATAAAGACTTTTCTGAGATGTCTCTTGGTTGAGTTGCTGTTTACTGTCTTCTGGTTATTTCTTTCTATCGTAATTAACTCTAAGGAGTCGTACATTCAGAACGCTTTGATTTTTTAATTTGTATTTTGATGCCTTCCATACTTACATTGCTAGATGTTATAACTGTGTCTTAGCACCACATCTACCTCCATACTGACAGTATTTAGTTTCTACTTTATTCACCTTTAGTAGATCAGGTCTTGGCATCATCATTGCCCAAATCAGGAATCCTACTCACATTCAATGTTTTGTTAGATTTTACTGTGTTTCTTCTTCCCTCTTAATTATATTCTTTACTAATTACTCGGCAATTACTGTTCTTTCCTTTTAAAAAGAATGCTATTTAGATATCCTCTCATCTTACTTCCTAGTGGCATCACCAAAAACAGGTCTATATTTTCTTAGCTTGGACTATGCTGTCCCTGATGGAATTTGCAGACTCTCTTCTTGTTTCTAGTTCATCTTTAATTCCACTGATACATTTCATTACCTAAGATATTTCATTTTCTTTCATATTCTTTTGAGAACATTGTCATATGACCACACCAACTTGCAAAGGAGGCTAGGAAATGTTACATGACAGGGCAGACATATGTCTGACTACAAGTCTATTAATGTAAAATAATGGGGAAACATCTCCATTGTAATGGACAGTTTGCAGTTTCCACCACAGATGGCTTGTCCTCTTCCCTATTTTATGTTTTTTTTTTTTAATTAGATATGTGTAATTTTAAATCCAAGAAAAACAATTACACCTGGATAGAGAGTTGGAGTATCGACATCCATTTATTGTTTGTATAGGTCAGGATGGCTGTGATTGCCATAAAAATATATGACTTATTAAAGTTCCTTATTTAAATTCCTATTAAAATGAATATAATGGATTTGGGATCACATTAATTTGGTATTGTTGCTAACAAGCAAGATGAAGCAGCAAGATTAGTGATGATTTGGAATTGAAAACATGAGGACTTAGACTCTGAGCCACCTCCTCCAAGCCTACATTCTCCACAGATATTTCCTGCTTAAAACCCTCGTTTTTTTTTTTAAATCTCCTGTCCACTCTACTAGATATCCAAGCCTCCTACCAAAGTAGAACTAGACTGCTTATGTTGAATTACAGTATACAACATTTAATAACCATGGTTTAGAAGAAGTTACATAACCATTCTAAGCTTCGCTTTCCTTGTCTGCAAAAGATTGATCATAATAGATACCTCATAAGGCTTTTGAGCATAAAAGACCTTATATCTATATGTGTGTGTGTGTATGTATACAAGATATACACACATACATATATAAGCTTTGGTGGCATAGTGCCTAAGGCATTTGACTGCTAACCAGAAGGCTGGCAGTTCAAACCTACCAGCCACTCCTTGGAAGGAAGACTGGGCAGTCTACCTCCATAGAGAGATACTGCCTCAGAAACCCAAGGAGGGGTAGCTATGAGTTGGAACAGACTCAGTGGCAGTGAGTTTGGTTTTTGGTTTGATCTCTACAGAAGTAGGTTGCCAAGTCTTCCTTCTGAGGAGTGGCTGGTGAGTTTGAACCACCAGCCTTCTGGTTAGCAGTCAGATGCCTTAGACACTATGCCACCAGAGCTCCATATCTTAATGCTTGGAAAATTATAAGTGCCTTGTAAGTGCTTGGCACATAATAAATGCTATATATGTGTTTCCTGTCATTTTCATCATTGTCATCATCATCACCATCATATTTAACAGTTGCTCTGTATTCCAATCTGGATTAGTTTACATGTAGCTTCTCAGTCTTCTACTATCTAAGCTTTGTATACATTTTAATTTTTCTTTCTCTTTTAGATGGCAAATCTGAGATTGAGACCTCACAACACAGAATTACTGGAAAAGCTGCATTTCATAGTGAAATGAAGGGAAAAGATACAAGAGGTGATTCATTGTATTCTATTTTAGAAGAGCTGTGGCAAGACGCTGAACAGATAGAGAGAGATCAAGAAAAGCAAAACAAACCTCTGAGTCATGCTGCTTTCATCAATAAGAAAATATTGACTACAGAGTGGAATTATGAACATAAAAGCATTGAAAAATTTCTTCATCCAAGCTCAAATCTTATTCCTTCACAGAAAAGACTCCATAAACGTGACTTAGTTGGAAAGAGTTTTAAGCATAATTTAGACTTATGTATTCATAATAAAAACAATGCAACAAAGAACTTTGATAAAATTATTGGACATGGTCAGATTTTTACCCAGACCTCTTCCTATACTAGCCATGAAAATAATCATACAGGAGTGAAATTATGTGGAAGTAATCAGTGTGGAAAACTCCTCAGCCTCAAACGTGCACTCAGTCAAAACCTGAAATTTCCTGTTGGGGAGAAAGCAAACACACGTACTGAATTTGGGAAGATCTTTGCCAATAAGTCACACCTTTTTTCAGCTCAGGGAATTCATACAGTGGAAAAACCTCATGAACTTAGCAAATGTGCAAATGTTTTTACACAGAAGCAGCTATTCAGTATATATCTGAGAGTTCATAGAGATGAAAAACTACATGTATGTACTGAATGTGGGAAGGCTTTCATGCAGAATTCAGAATTAATTATGCATGAGAAAATTCATACTAGAGAGAAACCCTACAAATGCAATGAATGTGGAAAATCATTTTTCCAGACGTCATCTCTGTTTAGGCATCAGACAACTCATACTGGAGAAAAACTGTATGAATGCAATGAATGTGGGAAAGGCTTCTCCTTGAACTCAGCTCTCAATATACATCAGAAAATTCATACTGGAGAAAGACATCACAAATGTAGTGACTGTGGAAAAGCCTTTACTCAAAAATCAACACTCAGGATGCATCAGAGAATCCATACAGGAGAGAGATCCTATATTTGTACTGAATGTGGACAGGCCTTCATCCAGAAGGCACACTTGATTGCACATCAAAGAATTCATACTGGAGAAAAGCCTTATGAATGTAATGACTGTGGAAAATCCTTCCCTTCCAAGTCACAACTCCAGATGCATAAGCGAATCCATACAGGAGAGAAACCCTACATATGTACTGAATGTGGGAAGGCCTTCACCAACAGGTCAAATCTCAATACTCATCAGAAAGCTCATACTGGAGAGAAGTCGTATATATGTGCTGAATGTGGGAAGGCCTTCACTGACAGATCAAATTTCAATAAACATCAAACAATTCATACTGGAGAGAAACCCTATGTTTGTACAGATTGTGGAAGGGCCTTCATCCAGAAGTCAGAGTTAATTACACATCAGCGAATTCATACTACAGAGAAGCCTTATAAATGTACTGACTGTGAGAAGTGTTTCTCCAAGAAACCACATCTCAAAGTACATCAGCGAATTCACACCGGAGAGAAACCATACATATGTGCAGAATGTGGGAAAGCCTTCACTGACAGATCAAATTTCAATAAACACCAGACAATTCATACTGGAGATAAACCCTATAAATGCAGTGACTGTGGAAAGGGTTTCACACAGAAATCAGTTCTTAGTATGCATCGCAATATTCATACATGAAAGTAACCCTGTTTCTTGAAAATTAGAAAGCCTTATCACAGAAATCAGGTCTAAGTGTATATTATAGACTTCATCTGAGACAGATCCTATATGAATATATTGCATAAGGAAAAGCATTCATCATGTTATCTCACTCTAGATGAGAAAAATTAGAAGAGACACTCTAAGTGCACTGAATGAGGGGGAAATTTCCATATTTGCACAGTCTCACAAAAGGAAATAGAATTCCTGCTGGGAAAAATGTGTTATCAGTTTTATGCATTAGGAAAAGCTTTTTTATAAGAAGTATTATAAGGCAAGTTGTTACCAAATTCTAAAGGAAGGATGATGTGAAATTATGTAAATAATAGTCATGCTTACTGTTGTACATAAAGCAATTTAACTACAAAATGAAAGGACAACAAAATTTTATATATATATAGTAGTCTCACTTCTATAAAGGGTGTTTGTAGCAGAACACATTGTATAACAGAAGGAATAATTGAAATTGAAGAAAAATTGAAATTCTTTTTTTGAATTTAGTATGAATTGTGTCTATAAAATGTTGCCTATTGAATATTTCTATCAAGTGACTCTACAATTTAAAAGTCATTATGTCTTTATATATATAGCCATCTGCAGATATAATTTTACATAAATACATAATATAATCCTATCATACATACTAGTTTTCATGACAGTATTTTTATCTTCATTGTGTTAGAATGCAAAATAGCCACAGATTTCTCCCATCACTTTATGCATGTTCCTTTGCTGTTTCTCTAATTTAGAGGTCGTCTCTTTCTCCTTAACGCTGAGCTTGCCCATGTGACTTGCTTCTCACAAGGTGACATTAGCAAAGAGACTCAAGAAGAGGCCTGGAAAGCATGAAAAACCTACCTTGAGGCTTTTAACTTCTCTTAGTACTCTTTGGAATCCTGAGACCGCCATGTGAAGAAGCTCAAGTTACCCAACTGGAGCACAAGAAGCCACAGGGAGCAGAGACAAGCCAGTCCAACTGAGGCCTCTTATACCAGCTAACCTGTCAACTGCCACAAATGTGACTGAAGTCTTCCTAGACTTCCAGCACCAGGGAAGCTGGCCCACACCAGACAAGCTGTACTAGTTATCCCAGCCAACCTACAGAATTGTGAGGTGAAAATGATTATTAGTTTAAATGACTAAGTTTTACAGTAGTTTGTTGCAAATTAAATGCTAAGTAATACCTTAAAAGTGGGGAGAATGCATTGTACCAAACATAAAAGTTCAGCATGGACTTTAGGCATGGGCAACAGGTGGGAGCTGTAAAAAGAGTGAAAAAAAAAAAAAAACTGTTGGTAAAAGCTGGAAAAGATAGCAACCCATGCTATTTAATAAAGAAAAAAAGTGACAAAATAGTCACCATGCTCTTTGGGAAGACAGAGAATGTGAACTTGTGGATCTAGGTAAGGAGATTTCCAGCAGAATGTTGGAAGTGTCACTGTGCTTCTTTTAGTGGCATATTACCGGTAATGTAAAGAGAGAGATGATCTGAAAAGGTAACTGTTCCATTTACAAGGAGAATTTAAAAGAAAATCCAGGACTTCCTAGGTTGGAAAATAACTCTTTCACATTTCTAGTCTCTTCAGTCATCAAAATAGCCTCAGGATTTAAAAAAAAAAAAAAAAAAGGCTTCAGAGAAAAGATCAGATTATAGGTGTGGTTGTAAGATCTTTTGTCAAAATGTGTGAAATATTTAAGTTGGTGCTTGCAATATCCTCTCAGCTAAACAAAAGCGCTTCTATCAAGCTTTATGGCATTATTGCACAGCAGCCTGACATATGGCACAAAGCAAAGAGAGGCCTAGCTTAAAAAGAATTGTCAATGTGGCATTTAGGGCATAGAGTAGATCTGAACCAGATTCATATGAAACTCAAAGTTTTAAAAGAGAGTTTTACTAGTGAAAATTTTCTCCATGTTGGATCTAAAGGGACAAAACCAGTTCAAATGAAAAGTGGCCTCTGAACTCCCCTCCCTAACTTAATTCTGGGAACAGGAAGCAGTGTACGAAAGCTACTCAACTGCAAATATGGACCATTTCTTATGACAAAAGAAGGGCATCTCAGATGGAAGGCCCAAGAACAGTATAGTAAAATGGAATGGGGAGCCACTTCTAGGGAGAACTGTGCCATAATCAAGAAACATTATCTACCCTTGGAGTAGGGGTCCTGCAACATTTACTCTATTGTATTTCTTATAGTTATGGACCAGTGACTGTTGTGTGCCTCTTGTTCCTCCCATTTTTTAATGGGAGTATCTATTGCAATTATACTGTGTATGTGTATATGTGTGTGTGAGTATGTGCATGTGGGTGTGTGTGTGTGTGTAGAGAGAGAGAGAGATGCACTGAGAATTATTGGTGATTGGAATGCAAAAGTTGGAAAAAAGAAGGATCAGTAATTGGAAAATAAGGCCTTGATGATAGAAATGATGCTGAAGATCGCATGATAGAGTTTTGCAAGACCAATGACTGATTCATTGCAATTTTTTTTTTTCAAAAACATAAATGGCAGCTTACACATGGACCTCATCAGGTGGAATCCACGGGAATCAAATCAACTACATCTAAGGAAAGAGATGATGGAAAAGCTAAGTATCATAAGTCAGAACAAGGCCAGGGGCAGACTGTAGAACAGACCATCATTTCCTCATATTAAAGTTCAAGTTGAAGCTGAAGAAGAGCCAATGTATGACCTTGAGTATATCCCGCTTGAATTTAGAGACCATCTGAAGAATAGATTTGATGAATTGAATGCTGATGACTTAAGACCAGACAAGTTGTGGAGTGACATCAAGGACATATATGAAAAAAGCAAAAGATCATTAAAAAGACAGGAAAGAAAGAAAAGACCAAGATGGATGCCAGAAGAGACTCTGGAACTTACTTTTGAACATAGCAAATGGAAGAAATGATGAAGTAAATGAACTGAAGAGATTTCAAAGTGTGGCTCAAAAAGACAAAGTAAAGTATAATGAAATGTGCAAAGACCTGGAGTTAGAAAACCAAAAGGGAAGAGCATACTTGACATTTCTCAAGCTGAAAGAACTGAAGAAAAAAATCAAGCCTCTAGTTGCAATATTGAAGGATTCCATGGGTAAAATATTGACTGAAGCAGGGAGCATCAAGAGAAGGCAGAAGAAATACACAGAATTACTCTATCAAAAAGAATTGGTCGATGTTCAACCCTTTCAGGAGGTAGCATATGATCAAGAACTGATGGTACTGAAGGAAGAAGCCCAAGCTGCACCGAAACCAAAAGCCAAACTGAATTCCGACACTGAGTTGATTCTTACTCATAGCAACTCCCATTGGGTTTCCAAGGCTGTAAATCTTTATGGAAGCAGATCACCTCATCTTTCTTCTGTGGAGCAGCTGGTGAGTTTGAACCACTACTTTTGGTTAGCAGCCAGATGCCTTAACCACTACACCACCAGAGCACCTTAAGATGCACTGAAGGCAGTGGCAAAACACAGGTCTCCAGGAATTGACAGAATACCAATGGACATGTTTCAACAAAGGGATGCAATGCTGGAAGCACTCATTCATCCATGCCAAGAAATTAGAAGACAGCTACCTGGTCAACTGACTATTTGTGCCCATTCCAAAGAAAGGTGACCCAACAGAATGCAGAAATTATAGAACAATATCATTAGTATCACACACAAGGAAAATTTTGCTGAAGATAATTTAAAAATGGTTGCAGAGGTACATCAACAGGGAACTGCCAGTTAATTCAAACCAGATTCAGAAGAGGATGCGGAATGAGTGCTATCATTGCTCATCTCAGATGGATCTTGGCTAAAAGCAGAGAATACCAGAAAGATGTTTACCTGTGTTTTATTGACTGTGCATAGACATTCAACTGTGTGGATCATCATAAATTATGAGTAACATTGTGAAGAATGGGAATTCATGAACATTAAATTGTGCTTGTAAGGAACCTATACATAGATCAAAAGGCAGTTGTTTGATCAGAAGAAGGAAGTACTGCATGGTTTAGAATCAGGAATGGTGTACTCCAGGGTTGTATCCTTTCACCATACTCATTCAATTTGTTTGCTGAGCAAATAATCCGAGAAGCTGGACTATATGAAAAAGAACGTGGCATCTCAATTGAAGGAAAACTCATTAACAAATGACCTTGCTTGCTGAAAGTGAAAACAACTTGAAGCACATCAACATAAAACAAAAATCCTCATAACTGGACCAATAAGCAACATCATGAGAAACAGAGAAAAGATTGAAGTTGTCAAGAATATCATTTTACTTGGATCCACAATCAACATCCATGGAAGCAGCAGTCAAGAAATCAACCAACATATTGTATTGGGCAAATCTGCTGCAAAAGAAGACCTGTTTCAAGTGTTAAAAAGCTAAGATGTCTCTTTGAGGACTAAGGTGTGCCTGACTCAAGCCATGGTATTTTCAGTCACCTTCTATGCATGTGAAAGCAGGGCTATGTATAGGAAAGATGGAAGAATAATTGATACATTTGAATTAGAGTGTTGGAGAAGAATACTGAATATATATACCATGGACTGCCAGAAGAATGAACCAATCTGTCTTGAAGAACTACAGCCAGAACTATGCTTAGAAGCAAGGATAGAAACCTTCATCTCACTGAATTTGGGCATGATATCAGGAGGGACCAGTCCCTGGAGAATGACATCATGCTTTGTGAAGTAGAAGATCAACAAAAAGGAGGAAGACCCTCAATGAGATGGATTGACACAGTGGCTGCAACAGGGGGCTCAAGCATAACAATGACTGTGAGGATGGTGCAGGACCAGGCAGTGTTTCTGTTGTATGTGGCGTTGCTATGAGTCAGAGCCAACTCAAAGGCCCCTAACAACATTATATGTATATATATATATATATATATACATATATATGTACATATGTGTGC